TTGGGAACCCTTGTATATTTACTTTAGTTTAGTCCCCCCCCCCCCCCCCCCCCACCTATCTTTTCCTGTGCAAAACAAATTTTCATTCTATTCTCTTTATGTTCAGATCAAATCTATATGCTAAATTGAAATTGTGTAAAACTATATACTGTACATTTGAAGATTTGTGTTGAATAAACAAACTTGAAAAAAAAAATAAAATAAAATAAATTTAGAACACATTGTATATTTAATCTAGAAGCAGATAGCATATTTAGGCCACCGTGTATAATTACCCTAGTAGCAGATAGCATATTTAGAACACATTGTATATTTACTCTAGTAGCAGATAATATATTTAGAGCACATTGTATATTTACGCTAGAAGCAGATAGCATATTTAGAACACACTGTATATTTACGCTAGAAGCAGATAACATATTTAGAACACATTGTATATTTACGCTAGAAGTAGATAACATATTTAGAACACACTGTATATTTACGCTAGAAGCAGATAACATATTTAGAACACATTGTATATTTACGCTAGTAGAAGATAACATATTCAAAACACATTGTATATTTACTTTAGAAGCAGATAACATATTTAGAACACATTGTATATTTACGCTAGTAGCAGATAACATATTTAGAACACATTGTATATTTACTTTAGAAGCAGATAATATATTTAAAACACATTGTATATTTACTCTAGTAGCAGATAACATATTTAGAACACATTATATATTTACTCTAGAAGCAGATAACATATTTAGAACAAATTGTATATTTACGCCAGTAGCAGATAACATATTTAGAACACATAGTATATTTACGCTAGTAGCCGATAACATATTTAGGTCACCTTTTATATTTACTCTAGTAGCAGATAACATATTTTGGTCACCTTGTATATTTACTCTAGTAGCAGATAACATATTTTGGTCACCTTGTATATTTACTCTAGTAGCAGATAACATATTTAGGTCAACTTGTATATTTACTCTAACATATTTAGGTCAACTTGTATATTTACTCTAGTAGCAGATAACATATTTAGAACACATTGTATATTTACTCTAGCAGCAGATAACATATTTAGGTCACCTTTTATATTTACTCTAGTAGCAGATAACATATTTTGGTCACCTTGTATATTTACTCTAGTAGCAGATAACATATTTAGGTCACCTTGTATATTTACTCTAGAAGCAGATAACATATTTAGAACACATAGTATATTTACGCTAGTAGCAGATAGCATATTTAGGTAACCTTGTATATTTACTCTAACATATTTAGGTCACCTTGTATATTTACTCTAGTAGCAGATAACATATTTAGAACACATTGTATATTTACTCTAGCAGCAGATAACATATTTAGGTCACCTTGTATATTTACTCTAGTACCAGATAACATATTTAGAACACATTGTATATTTACTCTAGTAGCAGATAACATATTTAGAACACATTGTATATTTACGCTAGAAGCAGATAACATATTTAGAACACACTATATATTTACGCTAGAAGCAGATAACATATTTAGAACACATTGTATATTTACGCTAGAAGCAGATAACATATTTAAAACACATTGTATATTTACTTTAGAAGCAGATAACATATTTAGAACACATTGTATATTTACGCTAGTAGCAGATAATATATTTAAAACACATTGTATATTTACTCTTGTAGCAGATAACATATTTAGAACACATTGTATATTTACTCTAGTAAGTTATAGAGGATAACATACTTAGGCAACCTTGTATATTTTATCGGATAGCGGATAGTATAATTAGGACACCGTGTATATTTACCCTAGTAACGAATAGCGGATAACATACTTAGGAAACCTTGTATATTTACTCTAGTAAGTTATAGAGGATAACATACTTAGACAACCTTGTATATTTACTCTAGTAATTGATAGCATGCTAAGGCCCACCTTGTGTATTTACGCTAGTAACGGACAAGGGATAGCATATTTAGAACACCTTGTATATTTACTCTTGTAACAGATTGCGGATAACATATTTAGGCCACCTTGTATATTTACTCTAGTAATGGATAACATATTTTGTCCACCTTGTATATCTATCACACATCAAAAATAAATCACTGCTGGATCCCCTGGAAAAGTACTAGTAGGCTATTTTGGTCATGACATGTAAAACATGAAAAATTTGGCTTTTGGATCTTGGTATAAATGTGTATGTATGGATCGGTAAGGGCAATATCTTGATAACTATTTTTATTATTGTTATTGTCCTGGATAAGATAATCTAAAAATGATTTCAAAGCTTTTGATATAAGAAATTTTGTATTAAAAAAAACTGTTATCATTTACGACAGGCTCTGTTAGTGGGCGCATGTTACCTTGCGTACCTATCTGTTAAGGTTTTATTTTTTATTTCCGACTGAATGTCTATTGTAATAAATTGGTCGTAGGCCTAACAACGAATTTTATTCTTATTATTAATTGAATTTAATGAGTGGTGTAAAGAAACGCTTGTTGTCCAGAAAGATGCGATGTTAGATAATGCAGTTATCTCCCATTTACCAAACGGAATGTTTCAAATTAGTTTATGAATGAGTCATTACAGAAACATGTAGCCTTTCTAAATATATTAAACAAACCCCAGTCTTTACTTTATAAACACGTCTTGAAGCTTGACATTTCATTTAGCATGGTTTATATATTTCACACTTGAGAACTTTGAATGAACCTTGCATAATTAGATCTAATCTGTAACTTTCTTTGTGTTAATGGGTAAAAAAAGCATCATAGCTTCATTAGTGTGTATTGATATATCTGTAATTTTGCAGGCATGAACTTGAGTAATAAAGGAGTGTTGACATTTTTTTTTAATTTTCATATTTAACAAAATGGCAATTCTTCACATAAAACCAATTTGACTTTATGTATTCAGAATGTTGAAAAAATAAGCGGGTACCGGTATTTAAAAATGAAAACATTGTTCTATTTCACTTAATTGATCTTTTATTGTTAAAGTTTCTTTCTCAAATGGCTGTTGCATAGTTTAAATATTTCTTATATACAATACTACTCTATTCTTTTTACAAGATGATTATCAGAAACCAAAAATATCAAACCATCCTTGCAGGCGGCATCATGAAAAGATAGTGTGTATGAGCAATAAAGCCGGTAGTATTTAATAAATTCGACCTACTTTTATCCAGCGTGAATAACTCGCTTTCTCGAACTACTAGTCACATTTCATGTAGCCCATAATGTTAAAGTGGGTGTGAAACGTCTGGATAATCAAGGATAAATAACTGTTAAAGCCCTCGACCTGACATGCGCAATGATAAATCGAATGGCGGAAAGAAAATTCTGTCTAAGTTGATGTGGAAATGGCTTCGTTAAATGCAGTGAAACGGGAAGCTTTCTTCCGTGGTGAATCGTCTAATATGAAGTTTGATCCTACAGCCAGATATGGAGCCGATAGAGAACGTGTCAAAGAAAAGGAATTTTCAAAAGAAATGGATAATAGTGAGAAAGAGAAACGAGATGAACGTGAGAAAAAATATGGAGGGGACACTCACAAAGAACTAGAAGGATACGTTGGATTTGCTAATCTTCCTAATCAAGTCTACAGGAAATCAGTGAAGAGAGGATTTGAGTTTACCCTTATGGTCGTCGGTGAATCTGGATTAGGAAAATCTACTCTGATAAACTCTCTGTTTCTTACGGATTTATACAGTACTGAGTTTCCTGGCCCATCCCATCGCATCAAGAAAACCGTGAAAGTAGACACCACTCAAGTGATGCTGAAAGAAAACGGTGTTCAATTAAAATTAACCACAACTGATACCCCTGGATTTGGAGATGCTGTTGATAACAGTAATTGTTGGCAGCCAATAATAGACTATATTGATAGTAAATATGAGGACTATTTAACTGCAGAAAGTCGTGTAAATCGTACAGGCATCCCAGATAATCGTGTTCATTGTTGTTTATATTTCATAGCTCCAACAGGCCACGGTTTGAAACCCCTTGATGTAGAATTTATGAAGCGTCTTCACGATAAAGTAAACATAATTCCCTTGATTGCCAAAGCTGACACATTAACACCAGAAGAATGCAAAGATTTTAAGAGAACCATTCTCAGTGAAATTGCTGAACACAAGATCAAAATCTATGAATTTCCATACTGTGAAGATGAAGAGGACAGTAAGATACAGAAGAAACTTCGAGATAGAGTCCCATTTGCTGTTGTAGGAAGCAACAGAGTCATGGAATCCAGTGGTAAAAGAGTTCGTGGACGACAGTATCCTTGGGGAGTTGTAGAAGTAGAAAACCTTGAACATAATGATTTTATAGCTCTCAGGAATATGCTTATTAGGACACACATGCAAGATCTGAAAGATGTCACAAATAATGTCCATTATGAGAATTATCGTTATGGTAAACTAGCACCAGTTCAATCTGATGGTAAAATCAAACCGGGTTCACTCACTAAAGATCCATTAACTCAAATGGCAGAAGAGAAACGAGATCATGACTTGAAGATGAAGAAGATGGAAGCAGAAATGGAACAAGTCTTTGAAATGAAGGTTAAAGAAAAGAAAAATAAGCTCAAAGAATCAGAAGCTGACCTTCAAAAACGTGCTGAACAGATGAAGAAGAGTCTTGAACAGCAACAGAAAGAACTGGATGATAAATGGAGACAGTTTGAAAAAGAAAAACAAGATTGGGAACATGCTAATGAAAAACATAAAGACATATTAGATAGTGCTAAGAAAGAAAAGAAGAGACTTTTTTAATGCCAAATGTGGTTTTTTCATTTTTTAACATCATTGGCTTTCAACACTCATGAAGTTATTTTTTTTTTTTAAGTTTATTTTATTCAATTCAGTGCTTTGTTTAAAAGTTGTAAGAACTAAATCTTATGTAGGCTACTGAGCTGTGCTTAGCCTGTGTGATCAAAATAAAAAAATCTCACAAGGTAGTTATATCTATTTGATGATACAAACTTGATGAACATTGCTTTAGTTCCATTACACCCAAAGCCACTATGCAACTGGGTTTGTCAATTGAACCATATGGATAGTCCTTGTATCTTGTGATTATCAAAGAAAATAAATTTGAAATAAGCAAAACCATCTTGCCGAAAACTCTGTGAATACCAAAACGATTTTATGGTAGTAGATAATATCATAAAGATAGCTCAATGTAGATGATCATACGTATGTAACACCTTTATGGTTTTCATGATGGTGAGTCCTTTCTTTCTAATATTTTAAATTATCATTAAACATGTATTATAATATCATATTTATGTTATCATGACATCATAGAAGTAAAAGATAAAAGATCTGCTGAATATTTAATAGAAATGTTGTAGTTGTTTAAACAGATGTTAACATCATTAAGAATATTGTGGTATCATGTCATTCATTCAGCTTATTTCAAACTTTCTCAAGCTGATATTCAATCTCTTTAGATTGTTTTAAACAGTCAAGTATAAAGTCAGTTAGTCTGTAATATTAAAAAGAATGGAGAATAAGGGAAACAAGCTTACTACTGGCTCAGTTGAAGACAATGTGAGGGTGTTAAATTCAAGTATAGAATACCGGTATGGTACTTTGTTGTACTGGTAAACCTATTTTGAAGTAATTAAGACACTTAAAAAACATAACAAGTGGTTAATATATCAAAGAATATAGAATTATTTTAATGGTCTTCCAAAGATTTTAATACTACTATGTTTCACTGGAATATCACATTTTACTTGCTGGCATTAATAACATTTTCAAATTGTTACATTGGTTTTTATAACAAGAAATTCAGTTAATACATTTTATTTGCACTTAGCTGAGCAGTATGACATCCCTTGGTCTATGAATCTAGCAAAGAACTGGGCTTGTAATCACTTATGATTTTTAAGATAATTTTCTTTAATTTATGTCTTAAATTGATTTCAGTTTCACATATTACTTCTTCCTTTAAATGAATAATAAATTTGTTTCAATAAGGAAATGATTTGTGAAATGATGTCTAACAATAAGATATGAGATTCTGAGATTCATATCATCTGATATATTTCTATAAGGGGTAATATTACTCTATCAAAGTAATTTTATACATGTAATAAACAATATGTAAATAAGTAGTAATGTTGTAGGTGTACCAATTTTCAGAATGTTGGTATTTTGTAGTTTGTACATGTCTTAGAATGTTTTCATATCATGCAGGGCTTTAAATGTTGTTCTAGAAAAGAGAAATCTGTTATAAACAGTTTCATTTAGATGCATACTTCCTAGTTCCTTGCTTCATGTCATGGTTGCATTTTGTTGTTGTACTAAGCATCGATTTTTTTAGAAATGATTTGCTATTTAATGATGCATGGAGATTTTTTATAGCATTTATATCTTTGTTTATCCTCTTGTTAGAATACCTCTGTAGCCTCTATAGGCTAAACGCTATAACTTAACTTATGTCTTGTATAAAGCCTTTTTTTTAATTTGTTGAATGTATTTATGCCTATATTGTACCTATTATTGTATAGTATTATTTTTCTAGTCTTGATTAGTCTTTTTGTAATTAGTATTTAAGTTTAAAAAGTTCACCAACACTGGATAATGATTTGATAGACTAGATTTACTAATATTAAGGAATGGTGCTACAGCTAGCTTGTCAATTGTTGTTGTTCTGATATAATTTTGTCAAGAAACTGATCAGTCAGAAGTAAAAGATTTTAAAAAATAACTGCCGTTTAATCTATTTCATACCATGGACCATAGAAGATAGGTGACAATTTTGAATCTATTAGATTTAATTTGTGAAATAATACTGTAGAATTCAGACTTGTATTCTACTAGTGAAAACTCATATCAGTTGCATCAGTTTTTAAAGACTTAATTAGAATGTGCTTAATGTTTCAGCTCTGCAAAGCTGCATGTATCAAATTGTTTACCTGCAGTTTAGTCAGCTTCAAAACAGGACTTGTGAAAAACAAAAGCTTTAGATTCCAATCAAGGCATTTTTGTCATAAGTTTGTCTTTACAAGGATATTGGCAACTAACTTTATTTTGTAATTTCCTTAATAAAAGGGTCCAAGTTTAAACATATTAATTTAATTCCATTTCAATTCAAGTCATTTCATGAAAATAAACTACTCATTGCAATGTGTGTACTGTACAGTATTGGTATTGAAGACAAGATGTGCTTGTTATTAGGGCATTTTGATAAATATATAGATCTGCTTCATTTAATATTTGACAAGCTTTAATGTAAATACGCACCTTATTTTTATGTTGGTTAGTATTTTAAAGAAAGTCATGGTTATAGATTCATATCACAGTTTTTGAGAAAAAAAATTTAAAATTTTCAGGTCAGAATGTGTGGTATTCATCATTTTCAGGATTCTTGAGGGGCCTTATGTTTTATATTACATTTTTAGGCAAATATATTCTCAAGGTCAAGAGTTTTTTTTATATTTGGAAAGTAGAAAACAAGGCCTACAGCTTTAAAAATTTACATCAAGTAAACACTACCTGCGTTGAAAATCACATTTTCTTTCCTTCTTTGTTATTTTTCTTTCATGAATATAATTTCATGTTCATAAGCTGTTACATTTAGTGCAGCATATTTATGCACAATGACTATATTCACTATTCTAATTGAGACAGATTTCAAATTTAAAATTATAAGTCAGCATATATTTGAATTAAATTAGAATACTCAAAAATGTAAAGAATTATAATCATGTATAACCATCATTATATAAATGTAAGTTTTACTATAACATGACAGTTGACTTGTTGACCTTGTCCGTTGCCTACACAGAGGCTTAACATTTACTAAACATGTAACCAAATAATTTATTTGAATGTATTATTTTGTTTCTACTATGTAAGACAATTTAGTTGTTAATGTAAATCAAACAGCTTTTCAATAAAATCTTACTGCATGAACTTGATGTTATTCATAGAACACTATATAATTAGAATGGGGAGGAGATTATTAAATATTAGTAGTACATGGCTTATAGCCTTGATAACATCCCACAATATGCATACAACAGAAATCTCCTCTGTATCCTTTTTTGGGGTGACTTTTGCTTGCTAAACTGGTTGTTAAAGCTTTGATCTAGATTAAGATCTTTAGATTTACCAACCTAGTTTTCCCAGCCTGTAATGTGAGTTTGGAGGGACTGATACATATCCAAAGCTCCACCCTTCCTCCATGCTACATATTCCTATTACAGAACTCTTATACAGTGTATAAACACTGGAAAATGCCACTGTCTTGGCACAAGTAAACACTACATGGCATAGCTAGTCTTATTTAGCCCAACCGGGCACAGAAGACTATGATGTAAAGCATCTCTCATTAGTCATTGTCTTTCTGCTCTGTATTTTCATATTTATTTAAGTGAATTGATTCAGTATACTGATGAAGAATGATTTTGTGACAAATTTTACAGAGATTTTTTGTGCATGTATCCGGATATAATCATCAAAATGAAATGATATCATCAGGAAGTTTTTAAACTTATAACAAATGTGAAGTTTGTCCCTATTTTTCTATTGACAGGCTACCTTAACCATGACAAAGTATTATTGATAAAATATCAAGTGGCTGCTAAAGATTACAAATATAACATTGGCTTGCTTGAGTACATTTATTGAATAGGCCAGTATAATTGGATAGATGAATGAAAATACTGTGAGCTAGAATTAAATTGGTTTGTAAATGTATGTCAATTTTATTCTATATTTGATGTAGAGGGTAGATACAGCCTATTGACCTATACCATGCCTCATTAAACCAGTATCAATATAAGTACTGCCCTAGGCATCTTATAATAGTCTAATGTTTTAGTTAAAGATCAACAATCTTAAATCAGTCATACAGATTTTACTTATTTCATCTGATTGTTGCTGATTTCAACTTCTAAACTATTAATTGGCTAGACCGTAGAGTGTCTGTAAACTGTGAGCTCAATTTGTGAAAATAAATCCTGACCCATGCCCTACAGGTTGTGCACGATCCCTCAACAGTTGCAAATCGAAAACAGAGTAGGCTAATATCGCTGTCATGGCAAAATTCCTCTCATTCCACACTGCATAGCATAGTCTGTCTTTAGCTCAATTAGATGCAGAAGAGTAAGACATAAAATTCCATTTGTATTGTTTCATTTTCCAGTGTAAAGACCATTTACTTCACAGTAATATATTCTACATACCAATATTGTGTAAGGTACAATTTCAAAGAACTTAAAGCTGATTATCTGATGAATGGGTTCGCAAATATTATTCATTTTGATTAGTGTCATTCTCTTCTGTAACACCAAATTCCATTCTGATTTTTTGAGATTGATATATTTTTGAAACATTAAGAGATATTTGTGTATTTTTGGACCTGATTTCAAGAAAGGCTTAAAACAGTCAAACTATGTCTTGGTCAAAATACCTGAAGCTGACTTATTTGACCTACTTGACATAGTTTGACAATGGTCAAACTGAACTACCATACAAGGTTATAAAACTGTAACTTGAAACTTCCACTAGAATATCAAACATTGTCCACTTCATAATTCATATAAAAAAATATCTAGAACAATTCAAATTTTGAAGAATTTTATCTTATACATCATTTGAAGAATACAATAACAAACAAAATATTTTCACTGTTAAAATAGTGTTTAAAGGTGTTTTCCACTTACAGCAAAGCTAAGACACCAACTTTTTTCAAAAACCATTTTTGCATATATCAGTGATAATTGATAACTGATTAGCTATTGAATATTAAACAGATATGACTCCAGAATTTTTTCAAAAATCTAAATATAGACACTATTATAGTTGTAATATTCTCTTGGAAAAGCAGATAAAATTGAATTGACCTAGTATTGGTTGTAGAAAAATATATTATTAAGATTGAATATTTCTGGTCAATCATGTTTTAAAAACAGTTTTATTACTACTATGATTTATTATAATAGTCTATATTATATGATATAGTATCAATCTACATGATAATTAGATTTTTGCTTGAGTGGACATTAACATTTAGTTCTCAAGTTCTAACGTGTATATTAAAGGTGGTCAGATATGATAAGAAATGGAGATAAGTGGACTTTTATGTTTCATTATGCTCCAGATTATGCCAATGAATACAGATTTAGCCATGCAGTGTGCATTGAAGACAACAGGAAAGCAGAATCAGTCTCTGTCAGTTCAATCATACCCCTATATTACTGAGACAGGAAAACCACATTCAAAAATGTGAAATACTCAAGTGTGAATTTCATGTACTTTAATTGAAATTCATATCAAAATATCTGATGATGTAAACCAAAATGTTTAGTTGTGAAATTCTAATCATATTTAAGCAACAATTCTATTGAGCAATCAGTGCTGATATTTGAATGTTATATTAATTAATTCTGATACACTATGAGTTTATAAAAATCTTTATAAAGCAGACAGGATGTTTATATTATATTATAACATTTGGTTATATAATTACACTAGGTTGTTTTAATATGTCTAGTATGACCAGATGAAATTTATCATTATATACTATATTATAACATCCAGTACATCAGGGCTGTTGATTTCACTGTTTTTGCCATCCATGGCTGACTTGATCTTCAAAATACACTAAGGTGAAAGGTTTTCGGATATTGTAAATTTAAGGTGTGAATTGAATACCATGATAAAAGTAAAAGACATGATATAATTAAGAAATTGTCCATAAACGAGAGAGCAGATAAAAAGAAATCCATAACCTAAGAAGAATAATAACACATAAAATACTGGCTCTAATATCTAATGATAGCTTATTGAAGTTTTCACAAATATATTTCATAGAAAATTTTAAAAGGATCTTAAAGAGGTTTTCTCAACTTTTATGTGTATTTGGTGACCAGATTCTGGTCTATTTATATCTTTATTTGCATCATTCCAATTTTGAGTCCACCTATTGTATGCATGTTTAAATGTCACTTCTGCAAGAGCTGCTAATATAATATCAAAGGGCCTTTGGAATTCAATGGACAGTGGACCAATTCACTCAGAGCAAGTTGTCAATTTGACAGATTTGAAGTAGTAATGACTGTCTATGGTTTTGTTTTTAAATCTCTATATTTCTTTACATTCTGATCAATATTATAATAAATCAGTAATTTCATTATGCTAAAAAGCTAAGTTGAAGATAAAAAGACAAATTTTAGATCTTTATTACTTAAGAAAAACCTCATAAAAGATATGACATGATATAAAAAGAAAGACATGATAATGATAATGACATGAAAGGTTAAGATATATGAGATAATGACATGAAAGGTTATGACATATGAGATGATGACATGAAAGGTTAAGACATATTAGATAATGACATGAAAGGTTAAGACATATTAGATAATGACATGAAAGGTTAAGATATATGAGATAATGACATGAAAGGTTAAGATATATGAGATAATGACATGAAAGGTTATGACATATGAGATGATGACATGAAAGGTTAAGACATATTAGATAATGACATGAAAGGTTAAGACATATTAGATAATGATATGAAAGGTTAAGATATATGAGATAATGACATGAAAGGTTAAGACATATTAGATAATGGCATAAAAGGTTAAGATATATGAGATAATGATGTGATAGGTTAAAATATAATGAGATGATGACATGAAAGGTGAAAAAATATAAGATAATGGCATGAAAGATTAAAATATATGAGATAATGATATGAAAGATTAAGATATATCAGATAATGACATGCTAGGTTAAAAAAAAATATATAATAAGATGAAAGGTCAAGATATATGAGATAATGATGTGATAGGTTGAGAAAAAAAGGGATAATGACACGATAGGTTAACATATATGAGATAATGGCATGATAAGTAAAGATGATATGAGATAATGACATAACAGATTTAAAAATGAAAGGAATGAATTATCACAGTCTATGATGTAAATCACACATTATCACGAACTTTTTGATTTTACATTCTGTAATCCAGGTTGAGCTTCATCCCAGGGTCCATAGATATTACTGAAACAGAAACACATATTACAAAAAAAAGTTGATGGATCACTTGCATACACGCCAATCTTCATCATACAAACTGAAGGTAATATAAGTAAATGTGGGTGCAACACAAAACAATTAGACTATGTTACTTTTGCTTCCATTACCAAAAATTACAGAATACAGAAAGTTTTACTGATTTTTTGTGATTTAATTAAAAGTTTGGAAATCAACAATAATTCCTCTTTTTTCAAATAAAAAACATAAAGGCATTAGTTATTATTCCTGCAATAAATTTTTCCAGTAATCCTTATTATTCAAGTCACTACTTAAGTCTAACTTTAGTCAAAGTTTAGGTAAAGTACGAGCGCTGCATATGGCCCTAAGCTTTAAAACATGAACTCAAGTCTCCATTTACTGAGCAATAGCTGATTTGTCATTTAGAATTATTTCCCTTTATATTGTCAGAAATCAGATATAAACTTTGATAAAATATCAAATATCTGTTCAATTTTTCAAATGAAAGGTCAATTTGGATGTGGTCACAAGGAATCGTTAAGATTCACTTTACCAATTTCATAACCTTATGCTCTATACATAATATTACTTTTATTCTTATAATTTAAAAAAAAAAGAGGAACGTAATGCCAATTTACTGTGAAGTAATAGTGTTAAATATAATGCAGTAACTTACTTTTTCCGAACCTGTAATATTTTCAAAAAGGCAGGACAGATGAAATTGATAAATATATGTATGCTGAGAAACAATATAGCACCTGGTATAGTAGTAGATAGTAAAAATACTAATGCTAGTAATCCTAGTACTACTGTTATTGTATTATTACACTTTGGATATATTGTCTGAAAAAAACAATAGTATGTATGGAAATATATACTTTAAAAGTAATTTATAAATAATTTTAAATAATAATAATAAAAAAAGTTTACTTACTATGAGGCATAGTGTAATCGAAATAAATTGTCTTGACTAAGTGTTCATGAGAAAAGAGCTTTAACATATAAGGAAATTTATGGCATTAATGTCCATCCTAATTCTTAACCAAGTATAATTGCAAGTTTGATGCAAACATATCTGTTTTGAAGGTTTTTAAGAATTACATAGAACAAAAGAAACCATACCTTCAATCTATGTCTTAATAATGGCCATAAAGCAAACCACTCAAAAGAAAATAAAACTATAGAAAATGCATGCCATGTTGTATTTAATCTTGATGCTAAGCATATTGAAGCAAATGTAGCTGCATTTAATGACAGAGTGCCAGGCACATCATCTCTGAAAATAAAAAAAAACATCACAATAAATAAATTCACTATTCACTAATAAATAAAATGCAAATTATTTCATTTAATTATACTAAGAAATATTTACATTTATCATTCAAATACAAGTTCATGTAATCACACTATAAAACAAGAAATTTCCACTATTTTTATTCTTTATCTATTTCAAACACTTTATCTTTTTCGCAGACTACAAACTTCCCTTTCGTGATACAGGAATGAAAGATGTAGTCCTACATTTCTGCAGTCTTTTTGACAAGAGCTTTAAGTACTAATTATCTGCAGCCTCTATGTCAATTAGACTAGATTATTTAGCAGTGGACAAAATATTATACTGATTATGTTCCCAAATGTCTATCTGTGCATCATCAATTTGTGCAGACTGTATGTTGAATACCAAATCTCCAAATTAGAGAACATGTACCAAGCGTGTTGAGCCAATGGGCCTCCTTAACTTCTACTTTATACCCATGAATTAAAATAAAACATTAACTTACTGATCAGCTGAATAATTATAGAATAAAATATTAGCTATCATCATCATACTGGTCATAGCATAAATAGTATCAGTACTAATAGTTTCTGTTAATGATACTAATACTGGTGATAAACTAAAACTAAATCCACCAAACATTATACTAGTCTTCATATCATCACATACTATCAAAATAATAAATACTAAGATAAAACATGGGCCCCGACTATTACCATCCACATTAAGCTGGTGTATAAAAGAACACAGGGGTACATTATTTGTATTTAGGTTCCATAGCACAGTCTGTTAGTGCTTGGTTATGTTGACTTTTATATAAATCATCTTATATAAATCATCCTGGAAACAACAATGTCAAGAGTTTTGAAAGATGTGAAAGTAAAATATGACTGTTTCTATCTTTCTTGTAACTGTAGTCTATATATCTTATTCAATAACATGAAATAAAAGAAAGTTATATATCCTATTGTTAGGCACCTAATTGAGCTGATGACAAAGATGAGAAATAGTATGTACTTTGATTGAAACTTTGAACTTTATTTGCCGAAATACATCAAAAGCTATATGCCCATGCAATGGGGAATCAATCCATGTTAAAAGTTAAATTCTGGAAGCATTGCCGTATCCTGATTACACTAGTTATCTATACAACAAAAGAAGATAATGCACAATTCTATTTATATTTTAGGAAATATCCAATGATAAATGAGAGGGACGTACCAGTTCTGTTAGATCTAGTAGTATTAGAAGAATTTTCTAATTTTACATAACAAATGTAGCCAATTATAGTTAATATTGTTGTAACTATAAACAGTTCATCTGGTTTTAACTGTTTATTATCCATATACATAAATATCACCACAAATATACATACACTGAAATAAACAATTAATACAAAAATATGTTATGGTATTTAGGCAAGTCATAGTTTCATGTCCATATTCAAAATAGCTTATAGTGTGACTTATATTGCAAGAATGAGTGTTTCAATAAGTTACAAAACTAATATGAATTAACTTTTTCATAACCTAAAAATTCCATGATAACCAAATGGATATTATTATGGTTAAAACTTTACCAAGCAATAGAATATTTCCAACCAAACAAAAGTAACAACAAAAGTACAAGCTATTGTTAATATTTTCTCACGCAAATTAGTACGACAATACCTCAGAGAAGGTCATGTACTGTATTGGAAGTAACTTGTTTAATTTTGAATGGGTATAACAGAGGAATTCAGTAATAAGACAATTGTATCACTTTGATTTTTCAGTATCTTTCATCTTATTGAGTAAATCTTTTTACCTGCTTATTTGTTGAGTGATACATCCTGAATCACTGACAGTAGGCCAATATTCATAGCTTCTGATGTGTTCTACAAAAAATATTTTCAAAACGTAATTATAAGTGGTAAATATTTTTGTTCCACTCGCTTGGTGAGTTCTACGTTCGGTTTCCAAGCAATTAAAACGGATATTAAATAAAACAAGGTGGAACAGAGTTCATGACGCGTTTCACTTTCATACTGTATGATTGAGATCAGTGGAACAGGACCTTTTCCAATCACATATTGTAAGCACCTTACAGATTATTTTGAAACTTCCTGCAATTAAAAATGTTTTGGTCAATCAAACCTTTACCAGCTCGTTTAGGGTATCCATTTGTCCCCCTCCCCTCACATTTGTGTGAAATTCGTATTCTTCAATTGTGGAGGACAGTCACCGACAATTTATTCTATAGCTTACTGTTTTTCTTTAATTCTCGGAGAAAACTTTTATCGTCCACATAATTATCAGGTTTATTTTGATCTTCATACAAGATTTTCTTCCATTCTTTGGGCGCAGCCATTTTGTTTATCACGTGATGAGAATGTTTTGTACCCATATGTAAATATTATACGAAAAATTTACTTATATTTTTCATATTGATTTTCTGTATATTGCATTTTTGAATTATTATCATTTCAGGTGCTGGATTTTTCAAAAGATTTCATGACTGTTGGAATATATTTCAAATTGATTAATATGAACCTTTGGTTACGATTAAGTCTCTTGATAATCAAGACTACGTTTCCATGTTGATGACGTCATTGTTTATAGTAACAAAGATGGTGGACTTTAACGTTGATCTTGTGAATTAAGTTCAGTTTACCTTGTTTGTAATCTTCGTCATCTATTTTTCTGATAGAAAAGCGTTAAGTGCAAAGGAAGTAAAGTCTGGCATTACTAATTTTGGACTTTTGTTGCCTGTAGACAGATCAAAATGCCCCCGAAAAAGAAAAAGAGTGGAAAAAAGAAGAAATCTGGAAAAAAATCGGGAAAATCATCAGCCTCAAAATCGGGAGAAATTACCCAACTTAATGAACTGAGCAAAGAATTTTTCTTAATCCAGATCAGAGATCTTGAAAATCGGCTTGCACGGTAATCAAAAATTCTTTTTTCTTTTTATAATTATTCCTACCAGTTTTGTAAATGTAGTCAACAATGTTTTCTGGACTTTTAGGAAGGCTCTCCAGTCTGGAACTGAAGGCTGTTGCCTTGGACCAAGTTGGACTGATGTTTTGGGTCAGAACTTTGTGAGAGAAAATTATAATGAAGACTGTAAAATATTTTGGAGTCAGTCTAAATTAGAAAGCTGGTCAACCATTACCAAAATCAAGTGCAACCAAGTTTTTGCCCTTTTAGAATTAAGCTTATACTTTATATTTTAGAATTTCTTTCTGTTTTCAGATATCAAAAACGCTGTGATGAATTATCAGTGGCTAATGGACAATTTCATGAGAAATTTGAACAGATGGATACAGACAAAAGAGAAATTGTCTCATTCTGGAAAAAGCAAGTTGAACAAAAGAGTAAGTTGAATTCAAACATAAAACTTAAAGAAATAATACCACAATGCATGTATAAGCTTACCAGTACAATTGATTTTAAACTATGGTACCGGTACGGTATGTTTAAAAAGTAAAATCTCTTTTTGCTCAAGATTGGCAAATGAAATTTCCGGGATAGTTTCAATAGGGTACTAATTTTTTATATTCTGATTGCCAAGGGATCTTAAAATGAAACAATAAAAATAATTCAACAGAATATAAGCTTACAAATTCCTGTCTAGAATGTATTATTATGAGTATGTTTATTTTAAAAGAGATAACACTATGTATGATACCTGTTTCTGTGATATAATTTAGCTGATGAGATAGCAGATTTAAATGATAGATTAGTTGGATTAGGCCAAGCTAAAGATACTGAGAAAAGAGAGTATGAAAGTCAACTCCAACAATTACGATCTGAATTTCAAGAAATGAAAGACAATCTTACATCAGAAAATATGATATTAGGTAAGCCTTTCTAATTTCAACTAGAAATGATATTTACATTTCTACTTTTGATCATCCATCTCATTGTATGTTATTGTGTTTTTGGTGGTGTTTGCATTTTGTGTAAACTCTACTGACATGTACCGAACATTATACGTACAGAAACATACATAATCTGAAATATTGGAGTTTGGAGTGCTGTATGCTAATGTAAATTTTGAATAAACTTTGGGATGCAGAGAATAAATAAATGAAAGATTCTGATATTGATTGTTTGTACCTTCATCATTAGGTGGAAAATTGGCATCATTGGAAGAATTCAAGGTTCAGAAAGAAGATTTAAAACATAAGTTTGCTATGATGGAAGAAGCTTTAGCTAAAAAGGATGAAGATCATAAAAATATAATTTATGAATTGGAGAAGAAAAATGTCATTGATAAAGACAGGTGAGTAGCGTACTAATTATTGACGTATTTGAAGAATTAAGGATTCAAAAGATGTTTCAGACTGTATAAAAACATTGACATTACCACCTCAATTACTATTTTACTAAATTAGTATTTGTGATCAGAGTGTGTTAGTTTTTGCTGGAATTACAGGAATCATAGACATTAGATGCAATTAAAAGCTGTATCCATGACATGAGAAGAGCTTTGAAAGCTCTCTTGAATTCCCATAAGGACTCAAAGTCTCATAAGCTTATGCAAAGATGGATGTCTTTTATTGTCAATCTGTAATGTTCAGTCAATGGTAATGATGTGGAAGCTAGTGTTGAAAGAGTTAATAACAGAAATGATATCAGTCTATACTTTCACTTTGCATTTTGTGACGAATTCAGAAACTATGGATATCTGAAATTGACTCCTGTGAAATAAAGCTCATATGCCTGTTTTTTTTTATCTCAACTGTGATATATGATTTGTTTATCGGTATTTGTAGATTAAAGAAAGATATGATAGTTAAAGTAAATACTGTGGCTGCAGAATTCCGTAAAGTTTCTAATAAACAAATGGCAGAAACTACCAAACGTACAATAAGAGAAAATGTCTCAATTAATGCTCAGCTTGGTAAAATGTCTGATAAAACACAAGAAACTTTACGAGAAACTGATGATTATAAAGCTAGAGAGAAAAAATGTAGACAACAGATTGAAATGCTGGAAGTTAATGAAAAGGAATTGGCTAAGAAAAATCATAGCAATATTAAGGTAAAGATATTATTGAAAGATAGAGATTGTGTTTGGTGTTTAACTGTGGTGACAACTCCTCACTATCCTGGAAGAAGGTCCTAGTTGTAGTGGCTCTGTGAGTTAGATGCTTGCACACTTCATTGTCTTAATTACCCCATAAGGTTCAAAATTTTCATCAAAGATTCTGTTATACTTGCCTATGAGCCCACAGGAAAATAAACCTATTGGAGAAAATTTGAAATTTAAAAAGATTTGGTTTTGCATTCCACATTTTCATAAGTCAAGTCAGATGTAGATACATAAATTTTAAACTATTTTATTCACTGTTGCAGATGATTCGTATGTTGACTGAGAAATGTCGTAATCAAGAAGCTATGATTGGTGAATATGAACTACGAGAATCTGAATATCAGGAATTAGAGAATGAATCTGAATTATTACGTTCACAAATAGAATCATCAAGGTAATTTGAGTTTCACTGTAGTTTGTAATTTAACTGATTCTCTAGCTTGGTGTATATTGATATCAGGAGGTGACGTCAGGATATTTGTTACCTTGAAGAGGATTCAACTTATAGTACCCAATCACCTAGCGAACCACAATCCAACTCACTTCCATCTGAACTATTCCACTCTCACAAAAAGACATTGTTCTGTCTAAGCATTAGATGGAAATGTTTGTATTTTATGTTTTATATAATCCCTGTCAAGTTGGTATTTTTGATAGAGCTAGTCTTGTATTTATTATAATTTCAAGACACCTGTCCTAATAAGACTAGATCAATACTTTTTTGATAAATATACAGACCATATGACATGATATAACAATTTTTTAAAAATTAAATTAATACCAAGGTTAAAAATGATTCAAACTGAATGAATCCTATTTTTGTTTATTTAATGAGTGCATCAATATTTGTAGAGAAGAAATCCAGGGTTTAAGTAAAGAAAATGAACAGCTAGAAGAACAACTAGAAAAAACAATAGAGACATTGAATGATACTAGAAACAATAGAGCTAAAGTTGATCAAGTAATGAAAGATGCTGCTCATGCTTTGAGAGTAGCATTGAGGGTAAGCTTCATGGTGTTTCCCACCATTTTCATTTTCAAGTTTGTGTACTTAGTCAAATATCTTCATTATAGAAACTTTGAATGTAAACCAATTTTTGACTTGTCTCTTGAATAATTGTTGCCTTAACTAGTCATCAAAAAAGTGTCAATTTGATTGCAATTTTTGGACTGGTGAACATTCGTAACATTTATCAAATAAAAGTCACATTTATCAAATAAAAGTCAAATTTTGTCCCATTCATGGTGATAACTGGATTAGAATTTCTGAGAATGTTCAGCTTTTAGAAATTAATCTTTACATTCACCATCTCTATTTTACCCAGAAAACTGAACCTGATGAAGAAAATGATCTAGATGATGATGATTTTGAAATAGAAAGAAGAGATCAATTATTAGAACAGTTACTGATATTATTAAACAGTGCTGCTGCTATAGGTATTGGTCCATTACCTGGTGATCTAGGTAAACATTTTGAACAACAAGTAAAGAGTTTGACCAAGTTATCTACTAATAGTGGTGGTAGTAGAATGGGCATAAGAAAAGGGTATGTTTATACTAATTTTGTTTCCAATATTCAGTTTTGAAGAAATCATATGTTGAATCTTGTCTCTCAGACACAGTAATTATATATGTATGACTTGTTAAAATGATCACCCATAATGGTATATGTCCATCATCGTAGTTTTTATCACAAGAACAGGTCATTTAAAAAAAATTTTATCTAAGAGCCATAACAAAACATCAATCATTAAAATCTGATTACAAAATCTGAAAAAAACAAAGATATCATCTCTGAAATTGAAGAACCACAAATTGGTTAACCCTAAGTAATGACCAGTGGTAGCTGTTTTACTAATTTTCTCTTTTTTTATATTACAGGCAAGTTGAGATGTCTCCTATCAGTAAATCAGGGGGTAATATTGCTCACTATAGTTTGGGTGATTTAGGTTTAATACCTCGACCTAAACATACTATACCTTCCCATTTAGATAAAATACGATCTTTATCAGCTACCACAAGACTGGGGTCATTACGAAAAGTTATGACTAAGTCAGTGGCTATACAAACAGTTAGTGCACCTAAGGTATGTAGGAATATATCTTCAAGCTATAATACAGAAACTGGGAATTTTTTTCACAAAAAAATGAAATTGATATGTTAAAGCTGTTTAAAAAAAAAGCTCTCAATACATTAATAGAGCAATATAGAACTAGAAATATTTAAACAGAACCTGAAACATGTTGAACAGCATGAAACTCTGAGTACACATGTTTCAGGGCTTTATTTAATATTCATGTTATTCTATAGTATATTTTGACTTTATCTCATAAAGTTTTACAATTATGTTTTTGTATCTTTAAGGCCATGTTTTATGCTGATCAATTATTGAAGAATGTTCCATCTTCAACTCAAACAGCCATCTATAGTAAATTACATGATGATAAAAGTAAACCACCATTAACTCTTGCTCCTATAACTACTAATAAGAGATTGATAAGTAAAGTTTATTAGCAATACTTGGCATGATCAGAGCACATTACTAGGGGTACTGGCATGATCAAAACATTTTACCAATCAGGTGTACCCTGATGATTAAATCAAACCACTGAACGATACTTGGCATACGCATGATCAGCATTTAATCAAGCGACTAACTTGGTAAAGCATGAATATGTCACAGTCACTATATATATTTCTTCAAGTTACCTTGCATGATCAAAACAATGCCGTTATGACAAAGGAAAAGCAGGTTTTTTTTCACTGAAAATCTGTACATGTTTAGTTTGTTAATTTTGATAATTGTATATATTGTTTTAGATAATTTTGTTTTATACACAATTTTTACTGTGAAATACTGTAAATTTAACTTCCTGAATATTGTACATTTTAGTAATATATCTTTACCTATAACTTATACTATTAAAGTTATTTGGTTATAACTTTGTTATAAATGCTCCTATCTGCACATCACTTCACTAGAATGTCATTAGTTTGCTTGTCAACCAAGGTATGAAGTCTTGGACTTCTGTTCTGAAAGAAAGTCTACAAAACACCTTGCAAGAACAGACCTGATTGTAGGGGAGGGGGTCATTGTGTATGGTAATGGTAGTAATGGAATTGGTCAGTAGTCAGATTTGTTCCCTTGTCCCCCTGTAGCTATGGGTCTGAGTGGTAAAGATCTAATGTACACACTCTGTTCAATTTCCTTCTTGTAGTTGAATTTTGTTTCTTGAATGCTTGTGATGTGTGAATATCCTTTAGCCGTGGGAAGTTTTTGATTCTTATGGGCCCAAGTGAAATAAGCTTCTCCCATATCCGTCCTTCTGTCCACATTTGTCTGTAAACACTGGTGTGAGTGGTTGTAATCACCAAGGATGAACCCATTTGAAACTCATCAAAATCACAAAATATTTAGTATGAGTTATTGCCACAATTTTGTCGAAACTTGGTTTCGAACCCTATTGAAAATCAAAAAAAATTAAAAAATGTTATATGAGTTATTGACCTCGTTCTTAAATACTTTCAATTTTGTGCTCCTAGACACTAAAAGACACAGTTCTTGCCTATATTGACAAAACTTATAATATATAATAATATTGTTTAGTATATGACTGAAGGTTGAATATTTGATACTGGTGATTGTTACTGTACTACCAAATATTTTTATTCATAATCAAAGCTGCCAGTAGGAGTTTATATCTTTCCCTGGCTTGCTATCTTTAAATATTAGATGAGTTTAACATGTCGACAGGGTTGTAAAGATAATCACATGACTACCAGCATTCATTTACATTACTCTTGTCTTGTGATTGGAGTTGGGAATTGCTACCGAATCGAGGGTTTTTAACCGTTTTTGAAATAATTGGGGTATGTGTATTTGTAGACATCAGGAAAGTTAAGTTCCAATTTGAGCATATTTACCCCTGTGATCTTGTAGGTATGTGATAGAATTGTATATCAAAAAATAACTTTTAAGCCCAGAGTTAATCCCCCTGTGATCCTGAATAGGCCTACATGAAATATAAAGATCCCTTTTCTCATTCTACCAACCGCAATCTAAAGTGAGCATGACCCACTTTACTATCTTATAGTCAAGTAATTAAAATATAGTTAACACTCAAAATATAAACTATTTTATTATTTAAAACAAACTCTGATATAATCTACATTCATAACAATTGATATATATTTATATTTATTTAACTAACATGGTAGAAAAACTAAATATTGTCCATACAAACTGATTATATATATCAGAGTAGGAAAGCATCAGACATTCCCCAACTAAATATTATAATCTTTAAAGTTACGATATAATATATTATATTATTCACTATCACATTCCCCAACTAAATATTATAATCTTAAAGTGACAATATAATATATTATATTCTTCACTATCACATTCCCCAACTAAATATTATAATCTTAAAGTGACAATATAATATATTATATTATTCACTATCACATTCCCGAACTAAATATTATAATCTTTAAAGTTACGATATAATATATTATATTCTTCACTATCACATTCCCCAACTAAATATTATAATCTTTAAAGTTACGATATAATATATTATATTCTTCACTATCACATTCCCCAACTAAATATTATAATCTTTAAAGTGACAGTATAATATATTATATTCTTCACTATCACATTCCCCAACTAAATATTATAATCTTTAAAATGACAATATGATATATTATATTCTTCACTATCACATTCCCCAACTAAATATCATAATCTTTAAAGTGACAATATAATATATTATATTATTCACTATCACATTCCCCAACTAAATATTATAATCTTAAAGTGACAATATATTATATTATTCACTATCACATTCCCCAACTAAATATTATAATCTTAAAGTGACAATATAATATATTATTCACTATCACATTCCCCAACTAAATATTATAATCTTTAAAGTGACAATATAATATATTATATTATTCACTATCACATTCCCCAACTAAATATTATAATCTTAAAGTGACAATATAATATATTATATTCTTCACTATCACATTCCCCAACTAAATATTATAATCTTAAAGTGACAATATAATATATTATATTCTTCACTATCACATTCCCCAACTAAATATTATAATCTTAAAGTGACAATATAATATATTATATTCTTCACTATCACATTCCCCAACTAAATATTATAATCTTAAAGTGACAATATAATATATTATATAATCTATATCCTACAGCCCATCTGCGCCGTGCTCTAAATTATATAATTGCTAAATTGAAACCATGATATATTTTATCTTGCACCCACAAACTAAATATTATTCTATTCAAATTGAAAAATTTGTGACTCAAGTAAATTGCCAAAATAATGATGACTGTTACTTTTAAATATAATTAAATTTTTATTGAATTAAGGTTGTTTTTTTCTTGTTGATTTCTTGGAATTATTCGATTGATGGTTTAAGAATAGTAATCATCAATAGATAAATAAATATAATATAAAATAAATATAATATAAAATAAATATAATATGAAATAAATGAATATATATATATAATATAAAATAGAAATAAATATATATAAAATAAATAAATATATATAAAATAAATAAATATATATAAAATAAATAAATATATATAAAATAAACGAATATATATATATATATATAAAATAAAATAAGTTAAATAAATGTAAAATGAAATAATTTTTTTACGAACACCTAACGTAATTATCTGAAGACCCCCCCCCCCCCCCC